ATGGATTTTTGTGAAACTCGGTGTCAGGGTATGATACATGAAATCGCATCGATTTTTTACGAGGAATCCGAATCTGAGCTTCGATTTTGAGTATTACGCGTTTTAAATAAAAAAATCTGTCAAAATTCAAAAAATTCAAAATTCGAAAATCCGAAATGACTAAAGTGGCTTAAAATGCTACCTCGACTCCTGTTCGATGGATTTTTCTGAAATTCGGTGTCGGTAGGTATTTTTTGACGGGAAACTCGAATTTTTAGTCCATTCTTTAAAATTCTCAAATCAAAGATGGCGGACGTGGGCTAAAATGCTATCTCGGTTTCTATTTGTTCGAGTCTTGTTAAACGCGGTATTTTATGGTGTTTTTCAACGGGAAACTCGAATTTTTAGTCAATTTTTGAAAATTCTCAACTCCAAGTTGTTGGATGTGGCCTAAAATTCTATCTCGGTTTCTGTTCGTTATAGAGCTTTGTGAACCGCGGGAGCAGGGTACTTTTCGACGGGAAACTCGAATTTTTAGTCAAGTTTTGAAAATTCTCAAATCCAAGATGGCGGACGTAGCCTAAAATGCTATGTCGGCTCCTGCTCGATGAATGTTTCTGAACCTCGGTGTCTGAGGGACCCATGTTGCCACGTTGGATTCATATGCTCGAATCAGTATGCCTAAGTTACGTCTCTTTCCTTCACGCTATGCTCGAGTATGATGCATGAAATTGCATCGATTTTTAACGAGGAATCCGAATCTGAGCTTCGATTTTGGGTATCACGCGTTTTAAGTCAAATTTTTTTAAATTCAAAACTCAGAAATGACGGACGTGGCCTAAAATGCTATCGCGGCTCTTGCTCTATGGATTTTTCTGAAAATCGGTGTCTGACGGTACTTTTCGACGAGAAACTCGAATTTTTAGTCAATTTTTGAAAATGCTCAAATCCAAAATGGCAGATGTGGCCTAAAATGCTCTCTTGGCTCCTGTTGAATCGATCTCGCTGATTTTTGGTACCAGGGGGTATTTTCGGACGGGAAACTCGAATTTCTGGTCAAATTTCTAAAATTCGAGAATCCAAAATAGTGGATGTGGCCTAAAATGCTATCCCGGCTCGTGCTCGCTCTACCGTGGTGAATCTTCGTACCGGGGAGTATCTAGGGACGGGAAACTCGAATGTTTGGTCTAATTTAAAAAATGCGAAAATCCAAGATGGTGGATGTGGCCGAAAATAACCTTACTCAGGGGATCTTTCATTCCTCGGAGACACGCGTTTAAAAGGGAGCACAGAAGACGCAACCTCAAACTTGTTTTTCGTGGGTTGAAATTCGAAAAATATCGGCGAAAATTCTTGTGGTTATGAGTAGTAAATACTTCAAAAAATGCAAAAATCAAAAATTACTAAATAAGCTCATTGTCAAAATTTGAAAAAAAATTCAAATTTTCAAAATTCGGCTAGGAATTTGAGTTTCCCGTCCAAAAGTACTCCCTCGAACCAAAAATCAGCAAGATCGATCGAACAAGAGCCGATATAGCATTTTAGGCCTTATCCGCCATCTTGGATTTTCGAATTTTCGAAATTTGACGTGAAATTCGAGTAACCTATCGAAAATACCGCACGGTACAAAAAATCAGCAAGATCGATCGAACAGGAGCCGCAAATGCCGAGATAGCATTTTGCCGTCCTGCCTATAGTTCCGAATTGCAAAATGGGGAATCCGAGTTTCGCATTACGCAATAGGGAACCATAGTTATAGGTCAAAATTGCAAAATGAACTTCGCGTGATCCTGCGACGGCAAATTATTTTGCGGGGTTGCTGAAGTGGGATAAGAATCGTTTTTGAGGATTTTCTTTTTCTAAATGGTAAGTAAATACCCTCTTGATACGGAATTCATCATAAAAAAAAAAAAAAAAAAATCGAAAATTTGACCCTAGTTCCTTATTGCATATAGCTGTCCAAATATACGACTATATAGATGTGACTATGCTTGACTGTGATGCACGATTCGTGGACAACACGAGGAACAAATGGACGTATTTTAATATATATAAAAGAGCTATATACGCTCTGCAGTGGGTACTGCGGCACCTAAAAATACATACATGGCACAAGGGATATAGTTCCTCTTGATTTAAATGCGAATATATACTCGAATAGATAACCATTCATACACAGAGGAAGTTTTCTGGTATACTTTCTAAGTTGAAAGCAAAATAAAAATTCTTTAAGGACCAATAGACACGGCATGAATTCCACACATTCCCACACATGTACCCTCTAACCAGAATTTCACGTAGAACACAATTCGCGCAACAAAAGTAAATGAAATCAACTTATAGCTAGGATATTAAAAATTTTATTTTACATTGGTTACGGGAATTTTCAATTCCGTGCTCACGAGAAAAATGATAATCTACCTGAATCAAATCACACTTTACAACTGTTTTCGCAGGCTTCTTTATAGAACAATGTTCCCTCCCCTCCTTGTATTGTTCAAAGTAATAAACAAGTGCAACAACTGATCCTAAGCACCAAGACAGAGGTTGCCATATGTTTAAACTGCAATCACCGTCTCGGTACCGCGATTTGACTAAGACAGACCTCTGTTATTTTCATAGGCGGGAGGTTTGGAACTACACGCCAAGAAACAATTATATCTTGGTTAGGCATTAATTTCATAAGTTTCATGGGCTAACCATTTTTAAACCGAAATTTGATTGAGAAGCATGTATCAGAATACTTTAATTCATATTTGCCTCAGGATCAAGCGTCCATTTTCATTCAAAAAACGTCCGAGGGTATTTTTTTAAAAAGAGAATGTCTTAAATGTCGATTTTTTTTTTGAACTTAGGATATTACATTCCTAATTAAGAGTGTTTTGATTCGTCACATATTGAACCAGATGCGTGTTAGTTGATTTTCTTGCCAGATACTGAAAGTTAGCATTAACGATTTGCAATATGATGCTGCGTGCGAAGAGTGCGGATTACGAGGGTTTAACACAAATACAAGGCTCTTTTGAACACAATAAAAAACATTGGAAAACAAAAAATCAAAATTATGTCATTGATGCTTCAGTACAGGGTTCTACGCAGAGTTCGGGCCGTGTTACACGAACGTTACGGGACAAAAAACGTCACAAAACGTCAACCCGACCCAGATTAACGGCGCTTTGAAGATACCAATCCCCAAGAAGTAATTCTGAGCTATTTCAAATTCAGTTTTTCTACCTGTATAGTCCAGAATGGGTCAGTTGCGCTGGTTCCAGAATTGTGTTTTGATTCTTGTCGATCAGCCAAAATTAGTAAGATTTGTCCAAACAGCAACTTTCTACGTTCAATATTGACCGCGATATTGCGTTTCAAAAAATTCGGTTCATGACGTCATCCACCGCGGTGATGACTCCCTTGGTTCCCTCCTCCTTGCTTTCATCCGAGTTATACCAGTGCAAATGTGTGTTTCTCCGACTTTTGAAAGTGAAAGAAACCAAGGGTGTCACCACCGCGGTGGGACGCGTTACGAATCGAATCTTTCAAAGCGCGATATCTCGATTAATATTCAACGTGGAAACTTGATGTTTGAAGGGATCTTATTATTTTCAGCTAATCCACAAGAATCATTACACGATTTTGCGACTAGCGCAACTGACCCATTACCGAGTTTCAGAGCGCCTGAACGTCCTGTTTTGGCGAAAATGAATTGAACCACTTGCAATTATCCGCTGGTTGCACACGCAGCCCCTATAAAATTGTTCGTAAAATTCCATCGACAAAATTTCAAGGAATTTTTTTAGAATCTTCCGTAATGGGCTTAGTATGCCATGAAACGCATAGAAGCAGTAAAAGCTTATTTTGGGGGGGGGGGTATGTTTATCTCACAAGTGAAATTTCAAAGTTTCTCGTCGAATGCTCGAATAATCGGTGGAGGTTGCATGCGCAGCCCTTGGAAAATCGTTGAACTTTCGCGGAAATTATTAATATAATAAATTAATGGGTGGTTTCACGATAACTAGAATAGTGTTGTCGCCGTAACAGACAACACATTTTTGGATCATATTTTTAGTAGAAATGATAATCACACGAATTTTGTCGCATTAATCTTTAGAGGGTTACGTATTATAACGCTTTCTAATGATTTATTGCTCTACTTCTCAATTAATATTATGTAAATTCCGAAAATGTGCTGTCTGTTACGAGGTAAAAATTCAGTGTACACTGGGAAAAAAACACATTGGATCTAAAGTCCAGACTCTTAAAAACATCGACAAGAAAAAATACTCTTGATTCAATCAGATTTAAGCTTAAATCAAGAACCAAGCCTCTTAATTTGAGCGGGTTTTCTTTTGATTTAAGCTTAAATCTGATTGAATCAAGAGTCCTTTTTCTTTTCAATGTTTTCAAGAGTCTGGACTCTAGATCCAATGTGTTTTTTTTTTTTTTTTTTTTTTTTTTTTTTTTTTTTTTTTTTTTTTTTTTTTGGCCAGTGAACGGACAGCAGATTTTCGGTCATTTATATTTTAAAATGGAAAATTAGAGCGACAAGTCGTTGAAAAGCGTTATAACACGTAACTCTGTACAGATTAAGGCAAACAAAATCGAGTGATTATCATTACTACAAAAAAATATGACCGAAAAATGTGTTTTCTGTTACGGCGACAAAACTATTTCAGTTATCGTGAAACCACTCATGCCATGAAACGCATAGAAGCAGTAAAAGCCAATNGGGGGGGGGGGGGGGGGTTATATGTATCTCACAAGTGAAATTTTAAAGTTTCTCGTCGAATGCTCGGATAATCGATGGAGGTTGCATGCGTAGCCCTTGGAAAATTGTTGAACTTTTTCACGGTAAATGAAAATTCATACGTCAGGAAAATGAAGTTCGGCGTGAAATTCCATTTGGTATCTCTGGTCTCGTTGGGCCCTCGTTGTCGAACGGCGGGAAATGGAGCGCGCTGGCGGGGGGAGAGAAAAGAGAAGGGAGAAGGGAGAAGGGAGAAGGGGAAGCAACAGTTCCTTACCTGGGCAGAGGGAGGACGCTAATAGTATGCACCTCACTCGGCTTCACCTGTTGAACGTCGAACATCGCACCAACTACTAACGAGGGAAACTGCGGGCGCCGTTGGCACCCTGGCGCGCGCACGCGCGGCTCAACCCCCCCTCCTCCCCCTCCCACACCACTACCCCCCCTCGCGCCCCCTGATGCTCGGGCATAAAAATATATTTCGACCTGAGTCGCTGTATTAATCAATATATCCTCAGGTATAAGATTAACTTAGCACCTCTCTGCTTGCCCCGCTAAATATTTGTTCCTTCCGAGTTTAGCAGTTACTCCCTCGGTTCCACTGTGTTCTCTCCATTCTCTCTCTCCCTCTCCCTTCTCCCTGTATCTCCCCTTCGTCGCGTCACGCATTCTCTTGGGCCGGTCCAATTTGCGAGGCTGTGATTTCCGCCTCCATTCACCCGGAGCTTTGGCTACAGATCTGTGAGGGAGCGCTCCCGCCTCCCGCCACCGGGAACGGGCCGAGAATTCTTGACTCGATGAATTAGGGCAGTGGTGTTTATTTAAGTTGGCAACACTGTTTTGGTCCGTTTAAATCCATTAAAAATATCGATATTAGAAGACGCAAACTGCCTTGCCGAGGATTGATTGTTTTGCTTAAGGCCTGGATACACGCTCAAATTTCCGTCAATTTTCGATCAAAATTATGACAAACATGGCGGTTGAGAGTTATCTAAATTAGTATCTAAAATTAATTAAAACAGCGCGTTGGTTGAAATAAGCATGAAATAAACACTGTTGTGGGGAAATCAGATGACGGATGAGACCCACGGTTCCATCATTTACCATCAAATTTTTGCAGGCCGCAAAAAATTGATTGGGAGGTGGTGCGCACCAGTCACCATTTGATCGGAAATTGATGGAAATTTGAGCATGAATCCAGGTCTATACATTTAAATGGAGGGAAAACAGTTTTGCCAACTTCCAAGAAGCGCCGCTGATACAGGGAGCATGATGTCCCAAATGTAAACCTGAATATTTTCAGAATCGATTTTTTATGTTCCTTAAATACTTTTTTGTTCTGTAGCGTTTTCCCAAGAGATCCCCCCTTCAAAGTTACATCCCCTCCTCATTCACCTTAAAATATGACCTCGGTTCTAGTACAGGTCAAAAATGTGTTCCGCGAATAAAAGGCATGAGAGTGCCGATTTTCATGCATTTTTATTCACAACTATCGTCAACAATCAATAACTATCGAAAAAGAATTGTCTATTTGAATCAAATCGCCCACTACAACAGTCTTGACACGCTTCTTCTACAAGGATTCAATATTGAATCAAGAATATTTCTTCTTGTCAATGTTTTTATGAGTCTGGACTCTAGATCCAAGCGACTGTTTTTTTCCAGTGAGCTTTTAAGAATCGCCATTGGGATCAGCCCGCAGTAATAAATACAAAAACGTGGTTTCGAAAGGAAGAAATTTTGAAACTTCCTTCGTATTTTTAAGGCGACAAGAAAACAGAAATTTTCAGAAGCATTAGTGCCCTCTTCCTGAAATTTTAATTCGGGCATGTGGATGAAAGTTTCCTTTGACTTGGAGCAACTATTTTAACACTCCGGCCGAGGAAATTGCATATCTTACGGAATGAAGGAACTTTATTGCGGTGATCGGTAGCGAATGAGTCTCTTTGAGCACTAGACTGGGTGGGATAAGAATACGTGCAAGACATGAAAAGACTCCTCATCAAAGCAGACTAACCGTCCGTCAAAAGCGTGCCCCCCGACACCCGGCACGGGGACCCGGGGATCCGCTTTAATACGTACCCGGGGAAATGTATGTTCCGCTATTTACCGGGCTTTTTCCTCCCGGAAAGCGCCATATTTCGATTTTGCCCATCATCCTATGCGGGTCGGAAGATAGTCCCTGGGAATAAGGGGAGCGCCCCTTTTCCCGGGAATAAATCTCATGACCGCTCTCTCAGGGTCCTCTCTACGCAATTTCTTTGCCTCCCCCCCCCCCTGCTCCGTTTCGGCTCTACCTCCCCTGTTCTTCCATTTACGTAATCCCTCCGATCGCCCGATCCCCCGATCTCTCATTCCTGTACCAGGAATTTGTCCCGTTTTGACGGTCGGTTGCTAACGGCCGGGTGTAAATTGGACGTATTTCTATCAAACGGAACTGCGTGCGGTAAGACATGAGCCCTGAGACCCATAAGAATACACACATAACAAGGCTTACGTCATAATGCACACAGTTCCGTTTGATAGAAATACGACAAATTAAAACTGCCTGCTCCCCCCCCCCCCAAAAAAAATCGATGGTCAAACCGCAGAAATGCATGTATCAGTTTGCGGCGTTACAGACTTCCTGCCATGCTTTATTTTCTACATGGAAAACCTTTTATACGTCATTTTTTTCAAATTCCCGTGATTTTCTCCTCTTCATACAGAATATTCCTCGAAAACTTTAAGCCATTATATCGGCTGGGTCTTTTTTCAATAATAAAATGGTAGCGGAGGTTCTTAAACACCGCAACCGAGGTACGCATTTTTGCATTTTCTCCGTCGAATGTAATCGCACGCCCAATCGGTCGCCAGACACACCTTCCTATCAGTCAACCAAGGTGTAATGTTGGACTCTACGAAAATTTTCTCCCGTCTATGATGCAAGATATTTGTAGCCTTGTAGCCGGAAACGTAAACTAAAAGAAGTATGCTAGTCTCTCGAGAAGTCTAAAAAATATCCGATTTAAGATAATCTTTGATCCTCAAGGGTCTTGAATCAGTTATTATCATAGTATATGTATTAAGAATTCACGGTATAAGTGTTGACTTGAAGGCGATGGCTCGTTTAGTATTGATTAAGCGCCTGAAATATCAATTTAGAGGAGCTTGAAAGTTGATGATTGCAGAGAAAAACCTGGGCTTCTTTTCAAAGGGACTTGCTTCATTTATCAAGCCAACAAGAAGGGGAGGTTTTGATTCCAATTAGCGGAAAACTCGATGATGGTTAATTGAAGGTTAATTTCTTCAAGCAAGCTTGTACCGTGCCTATATCCCTATCAGTCGGGAGCCAAATAAAATTTACAGTCCTGTCGATTCTTCCTTTTTTTGAAAAAAAAGAGAACCATTTATCCTTCATAAATGGCTCTGTTGCGCACGAAAGACGAATATAAATGCATAACTGACACTCTGACTCTTTTATTATTTTGACACCAACTGCCTTACCAAACAATTACTCCTAATGCCCTAACACAGAACGCAGCAGACAGTTCAGATGGGCAAGAGATGGTTTTAAAAATCATATCTCCGCTTCGTAGTCGATGATTTTATGACCATGTGAAGAATCGAGATTTTTCCGGACTCGGTGGAATGTGACGATTTCATTTTATACGTGTTTTGAGGATGTATGAGTCAGACTGAATGAATACGCAATCGTTTTCACGCATAAAAATAATTTCTTCCTTTCAGCGGGTGATTGTTCAAAAGATCTAAAGAATAGAGACTTTTCCGCGGTGAAATCCTATTATTTTATTTTTCGCACGTACTTAGGATGTAGCTGCATGAGCCGATCCTGCTTCTGACGATTTTTAGCAGTTGGGCGTCTAAAGTAGCGCTACGGGAAAAAAGTAATTTTTCAGGAGTGTCTGTAATTTCTGAACTCAGCGACCCTCAGAGTCCCTAAAAATGTCTTTTGCACGGTTTGAACATTTAATCTGATTTATTAACACCGAAATCCAGCTTTGGAACCATATTTTGGCGCGCGAAAATCGGTCGGCGCACATTGAGTGGAAACTTCAATTGTCCAAAACTCTCGAATCCTTCGGTTCTCCAGCTTAACGGACCACTCGTTGGATGCGGAAAAAGACGAACGATTTAAAGAACTGAATTCGGTTCAAATAAAAAATTGAGTACCTTGTAAATGATTTGTTTAAAAGAAATTTTCTCGATTCAAAAAATGAAAGAAAGCCCATATGTTAACTTGAATATGTGATTTCAGGATTTTGACCTTTAGAATCTTAAAGTACCTATGCGATTTTAGACGATTTTTCGTCTGAACCGGACCTCCGTATCTTTCTTCGTCGAGGTTCATAGGTCTTGACTTCCACCCCCCTAGCGCCCCCCCCCCTCCAAAATTTTTTAGGGGTCTGAAAATGTGGAAAAAGAAGCGCTCAGGTATGAGTAATTAATAGACAAAGTTTGAAGAAATAACAGGGTGGGGGGCGAAAAAAACCGTTTTTGCATCAAGCTCTTTGATCCAAGTCAACTCTCTTTTCACATGCAGCAAATGCTTGGCTTAAACCTTCTATTCAAGATAATGTTAAGGAAGATAAGTTCCAAGGAATATCGTAGATAGTATTTCTCGCCCTACTTTTGTATCGGCGTGATATGACACTCGGAATTTTTTTAAAAAATCCTAAAATATATGTAAAGAAAATATTAATTTATCGATCGAATACACAATTACACTTTTCTATGGGAGCGAAATTGAGATTTTGAAGTAATTTAAGGTAAAGACTGTCAAACGTAAGGCAGAGGCTTAAAATTTCTACCGTAACACGGAAAAAACCTCCTTGTTATCATTATGAGGAGGAGGACACTGCTTGCACAGTGGCGATTCTTGCAAGTTGGGAACGCTCTGTTATTCTCCATTGAATTGTACGTTAAACAATCGATTCAAGGCGATGGCAGCCTGTCTCAGCCAGACTCGATATGCTCCATGGATTCAAAAGGAGTACGAGCAGTGTTGCCAATACTTGCTGGAATCGCCACTACTTGTCATATCGCTGCTCCCCAGACGGAGGAAGAAAACTCCATTCCAAAGGCCTGGATACACGCTCAGATTTCCATCAATTCCCGATCAAATGGTGACTAGTGCGCACCATCTACCATCCTGCAAAAATTTGACCGCCATTTTTGTCATAATTTTGATCGGAAATTGACGGAAATTTGAGCGTGTGTCCAGGCCTCAAAGTCTTAAAATGGACTTGGACGATTTATTTCTCTACCTTGATTAAACATGTGTTTTGTATTCAAAAATTAAAAATGTGACCTTACGTGCGGAATCAAGAGAAGAGTCAGTAAAATCTTCGGATAGAAATGCTCGGAAAATTCCAGGTAAAAATGCAATTTTAGAAGGAAATTTTGCAACGTTTACAGGTGGTTATGCTCCATCGTATGGTAAACGACGAAGTTCGATCCACGATCCGTCCTGTTATGAGCACAGGATTTTGGTTTAAATGAGAATCAACTTGTAACAGCAACAATAATCCAATTTTTTTAAACGGAGCCTTGAGAGAGGTTAACAAGCATCTTTGTGAATCAAATAATAAGGAAGATCCTCGAGATAGAAAACAATGGATTTTTTCGTACACCACTCCTGTGAGCATTTAAAGTGAGAAAAGGAAGAATAAAAATAAAATTTACAGCTCTATTAGTAGAAATCAATGGCTTCCACCTGGAAAGATCCGCCATTTTGAGTCCAAATCCTCCAGTTCTCGTGCAAGTCTCAAAACTATAAAAATTTAACGTGCAATATCTCCCGACGTAAAAGTTTGCGACACGACTAATTTCGCGTAATTTTCAGAGAAGCGTGCGCTGCCAGTCTGAGAATACTATATTGTTAAGCCACGGTCCCGTAGGAGGCGAGTGACGCCAACTTACCCGCGGAAAGTCAAACGCGCAGTAGCTTCTCGAAACTGGGTGTCATTATCAATCTGCCTGTTGCCAAGCGAGATTATTGTTGAAACTGATAGACAAAGCTATGTACAAAGGAGGCAAAGGGAGAATCGA